ATCTGGAAGACATCAAGGATGGAAAAATGAAGCCATCTTCTACAGGTATATACACTATTTCATCTAATAACTCATCATCTTCTCGTTCTTGGGTCCTTGATACAGGATGTGGTTTTCACATTTGTTCTGATTTGCAGGGTCTAAGAAAAAGTGAGGAGGTGGAGTATCTTAGTATCGAGTTCAACGACTATCTAAAGGAATATGGAATAGTTTCACAATTGAATCCTCCTAGGACACCACAACTGAATGGTGTGGCTAAGAGGCGTAATCAGACCTTGTTAGACATGGTTCGTTCCATGATGAGTCGTGCTTCTCTTCCTATTCACTTATGGGGCTATGCCTTAGAGACTATCGCCCATATCCTTAATCTTGTCCCTACCAAGAAGGTTGCCAAAACACCTCATGAGATGTGGACAGGGAAAGCTCCCTCGTTATCACATATCAAATTCTGGGGTTGTGAAGCTTTCGTGAGACGAGAGACTCATGACAAGCTTGCAGCTAGAAGTGAGAAGTGTATTTTCATTGGTTACCTAAAGCATTCATTTGGATATTTGTTCTATAGACCTAGTGAGAACGTGGTCTTTGTAACACGAAGAGGAGTCTTTTGAGAGGGAGAGCTCATATTCAAAGAGGACAGTGGGATTACCATTGACCTTGAAGAAATTAAAGAGTCAACCAATGAAGGAACCTTAGATGATACTAGCACTCAACAAGAGGAAGAGGTTCCTGTTGAACCGATACACAAATCATTACCTCTTAGGCGTTCCAGTAGAGTTAGCATGCCACTTGATTTCTATGGCTTCCATATTACTACAGATGGTGACATGTTTATCAGTGATAGGACACTGATAAATTTGGATGAGCCGACTAGCTACAAGGAAGCAATGGCAGGCCCTGAGGCTGCTAAATGGAAAGAGGCAATGGACAGCGAGATCAAGTCCATGTATGACAACAATGTTTGGAATTTAGTTGATAATGTACCAGATCGAAAGATAGTAGGGTGCAAATGGATCTTCAAGAAGAAGACCGACATGGATGGAAAGGTACACACTTTCAAGGCTCGACTGGTTGCAAAGGGCTTCACTCAAATCCCGAGGGTTGACTATGATGAGAACTTCTCACCATTAGCCAAGATAAAATCTATTAGGATAATGCTCGCCATAGTTGCCTTTCATGACTATGAAATTTGGCAGATGGATGTCAAAACCACTTTCCTTAACGAGAAGTTGGTTGAAGATGTTTACATGGGTCAGCCAGAGGGTTTTGTAGATGTAAAGTATCCAAATAGAGTGTGAAGGATTGAAACAAGCATCTCGCAGTTGGAATCTTTGCTTCTATGAGAAAGTCAAAGAGTTTGGTTTCTCTAAGATTGAAGATGAGTCTTGTGTGTATATCAAGGCTAGTGTGAGTATAGTGACTTTTCTGGTGTTGTATGTCGATGACATACTACTCATGGGAAACGACATTCCAACTTTGAAAGAAGTTAAGTCTTGGCTTGGAAAGTGTTTTTCCATGAAAGACCTTGGATAAGCAGCCCATATTCTCAGGATAAGAATCTTGAGCGATAGAAAGAAGAGATTAATTGGACTTAGTCAAAGTACATACTTGGATAAAGTACTAAAGAGGTTTAGTATGGAAAATTCCAATAAATGAGAGCTACCTATCCAGAGTAATACCAAATTGAGTAAGACTCAAAGCCCTAGTACAGATGAAGAGATATCTGATATGATTCGGATACCTTACGCTTCGGCTGTAGGGTCGATCATGTACGCTATGACATGTACTCGCCCTGATGTGTCTTTTGCCTTGAGCATGGTCAGTCGCTATCAGGGAAATCCCAATAAAGCTCATTGGACAGCGGTTAAGAACATTCTCAAGTATTTACGCAGACGAAGGACATGCTTCTAGTCCTTGGTGGCAGTGATACGTTAAGAGTGAGTGGGTACAGTGACGCCAACTTTCAGACAGATAGAGACAACTTTTGTTCTCATTCAGGCTGGGTGTTCGTTCTAAACGATGGATTGGTAACTTGGAAGAGTTCCAAACAGGACATGATGAATGATTCAACCTGCGAATCAGAGTACATAGCTGCAAGTGAAGCATCAAAGGAAGCAGCTTGGTTGAAGAACTTCATCGGTGACCTCGGAGTTGTCCAGACCATTCAGGAGCCAATGGAACTAATCTGTGATAATGAAGGAGCGGTTGCCTTGACTAATAAACCAAGAGATCATGGAAAGTCTAGACATATCGACAGAAAACACCATTACATTAGACATAGAGTATAAGAAGGTCACCTCATCGTAAAGAGGGTATCATCAGAAGAGAATCTTGCAGATAGGAGCATTGGTCTGAGAGATGATATTAGTTTTAGTAGTTAGATAGTTAATTTGAAACTTGTAACAAAATAAATGTAATTGATTTTTGGTAATTGAATAATGGAGAATTATTTATGAGTTTGTTTACTGCCTTTTGTCTATTGTTTATTCTTATGTTTCGTTTTGCATGTTTTACTTCCCGAATAATATGATTATTCAAATTCCACATTCGGTTGTACTTTTGAAAGTAAGTAATAAATTAATATTGTCTTGAATTGGACTGTAGATTGTCTAAGGGAGTTAGACATAGAAATAGTATTGTTGCAATGTTCATGAGTACTTAGAAATAGAGATTTAAGTATTGGATAAACCCACGCTCATAGAATTACTTCATGGATTCCATCACAGGTAATTCTGAGACGATAATATCTTATGATCTTGAAACGGAGATATATGAGTTGTAATTTACAAGTTGGATGTACATTGGTAATGCGTAAACGCATCAGTAACTTGATGTTATAAAACATATTGTCATGCATGATATGATGAGTATAAGATGCAAGCATATGAGTCAAAGTTTATTCGTTCCTTTTTCCTTAACAGGAAAAAGCGATATTTTTGGGTCCCTCGGTGATTTGGTGTTGACTTATAGTGTTGGGCCCAGCCAAAACTAAATTGATGTGTTCAATTAGAAGTCTTATGATGTCATCACAAGTCGAAAATCGGGAAACAAAGTCTTGGACAATGAGATTGATTCTATTCCATGTCTCATGTTCGAATGATATATTGTTGAACGGAAGATTATATGTTCACTTATCTCAGGACACGTTTCTGACTGGGTCAGAGTTCGGCAACGACTTTTGGAAGCTACAATTTGCTGATCGATTCAGAAGTTATGCTGGCAGTTATAGTTATAGACTTATCCAAGTGGGAGACTGTTGGATTAGGTATCTAAGCCCATAACTAAAATTGGTATATACTTGAATTGATAGTTGCACAGTCCTTTTGGGTTGCCCTAAAACATAGCAATTGGACATGATGACTTTTAGAGAGAGAGAGAGAGAGATTAATTTATTATGTGATTAATAAATTGAAATAAATAGTTTATTAATATATATGAAAATAATATATTAATTAGAAAAGTTATTATTTAATTAATAATTGATCAGAAATTAATTAGAATTAATTTTGGGATTAGTGGAATTAATTAAAAGTTCAAGGTCTAAAGTGCAATTGTTCAATAATTGAACAAAATGCTCCAGAACCTTCCAACCCTAGGGATAGACGGTTTTAAGGGGATATTCTAGGGTTTTTAGAATATCCCATATGGATAAATAAATAATGAGATAAATACCAGATTTGAAATATTAATTTAATATTCAAATCAGGGTTATCTAGGGTTTCTTGTGCCACTATATAAAGACCCTTAGGCCTCTCATTTTCGGCCACTCCTTCTCCTTAAGAGATAGCCAAAAATCCTACTCTCCCCACTCATCTTAAGCCTCCTTCTTGCTAACTTGGGTGTGAACTATTAGATGAACGACAATTTTGGTGTTTGCTTCCAAAAGATCTACAAGTGAAGGATTCTTGTTATTTACTATAATAACAATAAGGTATGTAATCCTAAACCCTTTCTTTGGTATTTTCGAAAATAGCATAGGGTTTCTAGGGTTTCTTATTTGATGTTCATAGTTATAGGTTCAATAGTGAAAACATAAATCATTTAGGTTGCATGTGAGCTTAAGGGTTTTAAGTTTATTTGTTTTACCTAAATCCTATTAGAAATTACACTTCATCTTCTTCAACATGGTCGATTAACAAAAAAAAAAAAAAGAGAGAGAGAGAGAGACAACGATAATGGTGTACGGTGGTAGAGAGACATATTTGAAGATGGAGGCTTCTAGGATCCCGGATCTTCGGGTTCGTTTTTTTCTTTTTTCTTTTATTATTCTTTGATATTCGTCGTAAAGATTTGTGTGTTTAAGTGTTCATCATCCCTTGATCTGTTTATTTTTTCTATTTTCTGCGTTCACAAGCTTAGATTTGAAAGAAGATTATATGTTCTAGGTCTTTTTATTAGATTTGAAAGAAGATTATATGTTCTAGGTTTTTTTATTCCAAAAAAGATGATGGGTTTTTGGAAGGATTTTTAGTTTGTTCATGGTATACAGGTTTAGGTTGAAGATGAAGATGGTTTTAATGTTTGTGTTTCTTCATCTTCTTTGGATAAGATCTTAAAAAAATTAAAAATTTATGTTTTGATTGTTTTGAAAGTTTGAAAATGAAGACGGTTTGAATGATTTTTGAAGATGAAAATGATGGTAGTTGAATATTCTTCGTTACCAAGAATACCACACTATGTTTAAAATTACATAAACGGTGCCAAGTAACAATAAAATATGAAAAAAAAACGGTAAAAATGTCATTTTACATAATTGTAATTTTTTTGACGTTGTGTGATAGAAGGACCATTCCTACAACACCGATCAAAAACAAGGACCGACTTTGTCTATTTTTATTGAAGTTGGACTATATGTGCCTATTTTGCCAAACCATAGGGACCATTTATGTAATTTACTCTTATTTATTTATAAAAATATCTTAAGACACAAAAAAGAAAGTGTTTGTAGATCGACTCATCCTTATATATTATCAAAACTCGTAATCGACATATTAAATGAATAGTGGAGCTTAGAAAGAGATTATGAGAATAACTTGTAGTACTTGGTAACAAATTACATATAAACCAAATTAATCAACAATTTAGTGTATCAACTATGAAATAATAGGAATATATGGACGAAGATAAAGAAGAACTTGGTATAGCTGACGTCATCTCTTCAAAATATACATAAAACTTGCATCAGAATACCTTGAAATGATCCATTTAACATTCACATCCCGAGGATTTTTGTTGTCTTTCCCTTGCCACATCAATTGTATCCGGAATATACCTTCATCCCCAACAAAAAGTGAAAAAAAAAACTGTTAGGTTGTGTTTACAAACTTATGCTCATTTATTTTCATTCAATTTCCTTTATTTTCTCAAAATTCTTTAGAAAAAGAAGGGTAGGAAACATACATTTCCTCTTCGGGTTCATTTTTGAGAGCATTTTTGGCTATGCATTCGAAAGCAGCTTCAACATTAAACCCTTCTTTAGCAGATGTTTCAAAGTAAGGAATATTTCCTTTTGAAGCACACCATGCTTTTGCTTTCTTCTCAGACACCTGAAAACAACAAAGTAGATTAAACAAATGTATTTCCACTTCATAAGAGTATTTGTTACATGTGTATTCAAAGTTAAATCTTGATGAATTTAAATTAAAAAAGATAGAAAGACCATATTACCACTCTGCTATTGCCCCCATCAACATCGATCTTGTTTCCCAAAACAACAAATGGAAAGTTTTCTGGATCAGAAGGACTAGCTTGAATAAGAAACTCTTCCCTCCAATTATTAAGACTCTCAAATGACTTCATCACATTCACATCATGCACAAGAACACAACAATCTGCACCACGATAAAATGCCACACCTAGGCTTTGGAATCTTTCCTGACCAGCTGTGTCCCATATCTGTAACAAAATCAGCCCCAAAACCCTTTCGAATTCAATAATGGATGCTTCTAAACTTATTCATGGACTTTGGTAATGAATCAGACCTGTAAAGTGAAAAGCCTATCTTCAAATTGTATCTCTTTAGTTAAGAAATCAGCTCCGATTGTAGCTTTGTACTGATTACTGAACTTTCGGTTCACGTATCTGAATTCACATCATTAAGGCTGATAACAAGATGATAACATGCATATCAATTTTGTATACACTTTCAATTACCAAAAAAAGATCAACACTCTGATTTCTCACAAAAAGTTCAGTACGTTTCCAAACCAAAACTGATATCTTCTTTTTTCTATTAAATGAACACGAAAATTAATGGAGTATTTTCGATTATAAGATTCGACGATATCAACAAGCTGAACGATCTCGATTCCATTTCAAAATTTAGCAGTGAAGTTAGGGCAACGGGATGAACTAAAACGATCTGGAAATTAAGGATACTGATTCATGAGAGATGTCTTTCCAACCCTGTAATCAATCAATAAACACCAGAAAACAGCGTAATTGACCTCAAATCAGTGATTAAGTAAAGTATTAATTACAAATATGGAAAATCGAGGAATTAGAGAGACAAACCCGCTGTCGCCAAGGATTATGACTTTGAGAAGCATACGACGACGGGACGCCATGAATTCAGAACTTCAATTTCTCCGATTTCGTCCCCTAGATGAAACGGAATCTAGGGTTCATATCACTCTGCAATTCCTTGTTATGATTGAAGTGTAGAATATACCAAGATTCTGTCATTTTATATTGTAACTTTTAACGGGAATAACTACCTGTCATTTTAGCTATCAATGCCCTCTAACTATTGTTATTCAACACTTTCCAACCTGTTTTTGTTCATATTTAGCATTTACGTTTTCACACCTTGTCACATATATCTAGTTTCCATTTCAAATTTATGGATTTTAAAAACAACTTTAGTTGAGATATTGTATGATAATTAGATCTAATTGATTCAAAGATTTGATTAAGTCAAATCTAGTTTTTTATCAGACATAATAAAAAGCATATATATGATGTAATATATGATGTTATAAGACTTAAGAAAAGCTTTTAATTATGATAGTAACCGGTGTGAATCTAATTGAATCTAATTGAATCAGATTCAACCTTTTACCAATAATTGAATAGATTCAATCTTTTACCAAAATTAATAGAAAACATATTATACAACCCTTTTTATCTTGGACATATAATTATATCTTTATTTTCTAGAATAAATATAATTTATGTCGATCAAATATGTAATAATATCGACATGCTCTTTCATGTCGATCAATTAATTATGAAGCAAATCCCATCATATAATTCTAAATTTAGGCCTTCAAGTCTTGTAAAGGTCCCACAAATTGCAACGTGTCAAACTCCATCAACATCATCTTTTGTCCTCAATACAAACCAACTATTGCGATCTCAATTAAACCAAAAAGACAAAGAAATAAAAAAATTCCCATTTGTGTATAAAACAAAATGTAATCAATAAATACAATCAAACTCACAACAAAATAATAAAATCATTACCCATTCCCACAATTTTTCTCCAATAACATACAAGAACATATCATCAAAATTACCAACAAATTTTATACATCAAAACCCATCACTAAAACCCTCTCTTTTATACTTACCCATTTCCATTTCTCGGGTATTTTGACCTTCACTACTTGACCCAGACGGGTACAACCCGTATTCACTCGTGGGTCGGCTATATTCACTACTTGCATACTCTTGAGTACCACCCAAAGCCATCTTTCTAAACTTCACCATATCTTCATTGTATTGAGCCGTGTCATAGTCCGAGCTTCCGCGGGACCCGTAGAGCGATCCAACTGAGCCAGGTTGGGTCCCCTCGGTCAGGTCGGAGAGTGAGACGTCTCCTTCCAGGGCCCGGACCACCTGGCTCATGCGCGGCCTGCGTCTGGCTGAGTGGCGGACGCAGGCCGCAGCACAAGAAACCATGCGAGCCATCTCGCTATGGTTGTAGTCTTTTTGTAGCCGTGGATCGGCTATCGCGTCAAAGTTACCATCATCCATGGCTCGTGTAAGCAATGGCCTTGCCTGTAATTTAAGTTACATTAATAAATGCAAGAAATAGCAACATACTTTTGTTATCATACTTTCAAGCTTTTTTCTTGTTATGGTATTATACTTTGAGAAATCTATCTAATGATAGCTAAATTTAAGAAATAGCAACGTACTTTCATTTATTTCTATTATAACCATTGTACCTTTCAACATAGTACTTTAAATTCTAGTAAAGATTTTCATAAAACAAGTTCTTGCCAACTTTTCTCATATGATTGGTCCAAATCAACAAATTCCTAAAAAAAAGTTGAAATCTTTTTGACTAAAGCCTAACAATGCCTGAAAAATTCTCTATATGTGTGCTCATAAAGAAAACTTGATGGATCGTTGTTAACGTGTAAACACATGGTCTTGCCTACTTTTTTCTTCACATATAGGGCCAAATCCACATTCCAACAAAAGTTTGAAACTTTTTGACTAAATTTTTTTTAAATAAAAAGTATAAAAAAAAACCTTACCCAATCGACCAAACTATCATCCATAAAAGTTTGAGCTGAATCAACAGGTCTCTTTCCAGTGATTAATTCCAAAAGCATCACACCAAATGAGAAAACATCAGATTTATCTGAAAGTTTGCCTGAGGCTGCATATTCTGGTGCTAGGTACCTATCAACATTAAATACATGAGATGAAACTAATTTCAAAAAATTTCTTATTAAAACATTGTATTTTTAAAAAATGTAACCAATTCTAACATTTTACTTTAAAAAAAAATCTTATTATTAGTGTATTACATGTAAGTTAAAATTGTTATGTATTCGAATAACAATGCGATAATTTGGTAGATTATTCAAAGTACAATGTTTTTTTTTTTTTGAAAGAGAAAAGTACAATGTTGTAATAGGAAGAAATGAAAGTAGAATGATACAAAATAGATGAAAGTACATTGCTAAATCTGATATGAAACTCGAGAAAGAACGAAAAAAAAATGTACCCAAAACTTCCCATCACACGGGTCGAGACATGAGTGGCAACATCGGAAGTTATCTTCGCAAGCCCAAAATCCGCTACCTGCCACAGTTTATTCGAGGCTAGTAAATATACAACAAATACAGCAGATAGCAGATAACAGACAACAGATAGCAGATATCTCGGTATTATAACGATAATAAGTTACCTTTGCTTCAAAATTGAAATCAAGAAGTATATTAGCAGCTTTTATATCTCGATGAATGATCTTCGGATGGCCTACAAACAAATTAACACATTAAGTCTTTTCTATTTTATATATATATTTTATAATATAATATAATTATATATTTGTCGTGATTAAGTCCATTAAGTAAAAAAGAAAGAGTACTTACAATCCTCATGGAGATACGCGAGTCCTTTCGCAGCTCCAAGAGCAATTCGCAGCCTTGTGGGAAACTCCATTGCGGGGCGATTTTTTCCTGAAATTTATAAAAAAAAATAAATAAATAATAATAATAATACTCCGGTTTTGAAACTAATTCATGATTGTAATTTCTAAATTTGTAGTAGTTTTGGCAAAAATGAAAAAGTTACCATGTAAGTGGAATTCCATGGTGTTATTTGGAACAAACTCATAAACAACCAATCTTTGAGCTCCTGATATGCAATATCCAACTAAAGAAACGAGATGTTTATGATGAACTCGACTAATGATCTCAACTTCCGCCTGAAACTCACGTTCCCCCTGCCCGCTGCCCGTTTTTAGTTGCTTCACGGCCACCTCTTTCCCGTTCGGAAGAACACCACGGTGGACATACCCGAAACCACCTTGTCCAAGAAAATTGGCTTCTGAAAACCCATCTGTGGCTCTCGCTAATTCTTCGTATGTGAATGTGCTCTTTGAAAAACCCAGTGACATTCCCGGGGAAGGCGGTGGAAGAGGGTTTGAACCGCCGGAATAGTTGGAACCGGAACCACCGCTGTTAAATAGGGTCGGCGGTGGAGGTTGCGAGGGAGGAGAATTGATAGGTGCTGCCGATGGTGCTGGTGGAGGAGTGGGTTTTAGTGGTGGCATTGTGAGAAGATGGTCGCCGGGTGGTGGAGCGCTTTGTTGCCATTGTTGTGGACCACCGTATGAATCAACTGCAGATTGATGTTGAAATTAGGGAACTGATATGATTAAAATCTTGAAGAAAGATCTATGAACATGAGGATAAAATATGGAATTGAGAAAAGTGCGAACCTTTAGGTGGGGGTAGTGGTGGAACGTAATAACCAACAGGGGCCTGACTTCTTTTTCGCTTCTTTTTACAGCAAAGAAACAAGATAGTTAATACAGCAAGTATTAAAACGCCACCAACAGCGATTCCGACGACGACGCCGGTGGAAATCCCGGATGAACTATCTGACGAAGACGAGGGTCCCGGCGGAGTGGAGGAAGAACTTCTTGGAGGCGGCGGAGATGGCGTAGATCTGCCCGAAGGAGACGGCGGGCTGTTTCTTGAAGTGGGTGGGGAAGGAGAAGTGGTAGAAGGCGGTGGGGAGGTGGATGTAGGTGGCGCCGGAGGGGATACTGAAGGAGGTGTAGCGTCAGGCGCCGGTGGAGAAGACGCAGGCGTTACAGGGGCCGGCGGTGAAGAAGCTGCTGGAGAGGGAGAAACGGGGGTGATTGGAGTTGGAAGTGGGGGTGCTGCGGCTGGTGGCGGTGAAGTGGTGTTAACCGGCGGTGCTGTAGGCGCCGGAGATGGCGGAGAAGACATAATCAAGATTTAATCAAACTCTAAGATTCAGTGATTCACTCTACTTTCTTGAAATTGTGTTCACTAAAACACATGAATGCATGAAGAAAGACGCCGGAAAGTTGGTTTTTCCGGCAGAATTTAGTCAGTGGGAGATGTTTATTCTGTAAAATTGGGAGAATTTTAATCAGAAAAAAGTGGATTTGGTTTTGCTTTCCACATGGAGGAGTGGTTTGAATGCAAACCAGGTTGTACAAGAGATGAAGAGAAGACCCACATGGACATGGTATTTTGCTTTTTGCGTAATTATTTTAATAGTAAAATTAACTTTAATTATTTCAAATAATTATACCCAAGAAACGTTTCAAATAGGAGAAGGGTTCGTTTACTCGCTTTCACCGGCGCTACATTAACATATTTTTGGGTTCAAAAAGTATAAAAAAAAATTATTTATTTACTTATTTCAATTGAGTAAATGAATTTTTCGGTTTTATTATGACATAAATTATTGTGGTTCAAGAAACTACTTATTAAAATAATTTTGTTATTGTTTTGTATATATTATTATGTCAGATATCATTTTGTTATAATTATAAGATATTTATTTTCCACATGTCAATACTTTATTTTTTATTTTTCAATATATCACGAATTTAGTTTCTATAAATTAAACATACCATAATAATTATATTAATTTCAAATTTCAAATTTTAAATTTCAAACTTCAAATTTAATTTTAAATAAATTTACAGTCGAAACCGTCGTATTTAACATTTTGTTATAATTAACACGTTTAATACACGAGTCTCACAACAAAACAAATAATTTTAATTTTTTTTTTTTTTTGCATGTTTTTGAAAAAAAAATCATAATTTTTACTTATTTTAAATTTCAAATTCAAACAAACTTACCGTTTAATCATTTGTATTTAACATTTTGTTTTAATCAACTCCTATAGTATATAGGTCTCACAACTAATTTTATTAATAATAGACAAAATTAAAGCGTTAAAATCGCAGAGATTTATTTTGTCATTTGTACTAAATTAACTAAAAATTA